TTTTCAAATGCTGGAGCAGACCTGATGCAAAATGCAGCAGGTGTAATCAACTTGGTCATGAAGCTGTGATATGCAGAAGTAAAAATCAGCGGCAAGAAGCAGATGCTCAAGTTGCTGATTAAGAGGAGGATGATCAACTCTTTTTTGCTACTTGCTTTTCAGGCAGTGATTCAAGTGAGAGCCGGTTAATTGATAGTGGTTACACTAACCATATGACATATGACAAGGAGCTGTTCAAGGAATTAAGAAGCACAGAGAGTTCAAAAGTCAGAATTGGCAATGGACAGCATATAGCAGTCAAGGGAAAAGGCACCATTGCAATTGCAAGTTGTTTAGGTACAAAACTTATATTTGATGTTCTCTATGTTCCAGAAATTGACCAAAATCTGTTAAGTGTTGGTCAGTTGATAGAGAAAGGCTTCAAAGTACATTTTGAAGATGTTCAACGTCAAGATGAGAGGGAAGAGCTTCATACTTAATCCATTAGAGGAGGAGCAAGAGGCCTTTCCTACCAAGGAAAGTGTCACGGGGATATTGCACAAGAGACTTGGTCATTATCATCGACAAGGACTACTACTACTTCAAACAAAGCAATTGGTCAGGGACTTACCTGATTTAGAAGAGTATCTTCCTCACTGCCAAGCATGTCAATATGGAAAGCAACATAGACAACCAATTCCAAAAACAGCTTGGAGAGCAACACAAAAGCTTCAATTGATCCACACTGATCTATCAGGACCACAAAGAACACCCTCTCTCAAAGGTAGCCTTTATTATATTGCCTTCATTGATGACTTTACAAGATTATGCTGGATTTTTTTCTTAAAATTCAAATCAGAAGTGGCTGGATTATTTTGGAAGTTCAAGAAAATGGTGGAAAACCAAAGTGGCTACAACATTCAAGTTCTAAGGTCAGATAATGGAAAAGAATACACATCAGAAAAATTCAATTTATTTTGCGAGGAAGAGGGCATAGAACACCAGCATACTACTCCCTATACTCCACAACAAAATGGAGTTAGTGAAAGAAGAAATAGATACATATTGGAAATGACAAGATGCATGCTACACGAGAAAAACTTACCAAAGCAATTTTTAGCTGAGGCGGCAAATACTGCAGTTTTTCTTCAGAACAGGCTTCCCACAAAGGCAGTGAAGAATCTGACACCAATCGAAGCTTGGTATGGATATAAACCATCTCTAAACTTCCTTAAAGTGTTTGGTTGTTTGTGCTTTACCTATGTTCCTCAGGTTAAGCGTGATAAACTAGACAAAAAGGCAGTACAAGGCATCTTTATAGGCTACAGTACAATATCCATGGCTTACAAAGTCTTTCAGCCACAAACAGGGAATATTGTCATGAGCAGAGATGTGCACTTCATGGAAAATGAAGAATGGAGCTGGGAAACTTTAAAAAGCTCAAATCAGCTGAAGGTAAACTTTCCTGTCAGACATGTCGAGGGGCAGAGAAATGAAGATTGGCAAAATGAGATGGTGGATGAAACTCCAATCAGAGGCACTAAATTGCTTTGTGATATTTATCAGAGATGTAACATTGCAGTTTGTGAGCTTGCAGGTCTTGAAGAAGCAAAACTTGATCAAAAGTGGATGGTTGCAATGAAGGAGGAGATGTACATGATCGAGAAAAACAAGATATGGAAACTTGTTGACAGACCTCAAGATAGAAAAGTCATTGGGGTCAAATGGGGGTTTAGAACCAAACTCCATGCTGATGGCTCTATCAACAAGCACAAGGTGAGGCTTGTGGTTAAAGGCTATGCTCAGATTTTTGGAGTGGACTACTCAGACACATTTGCACCAGTGGCCAGGCTAGACACCATCAGGCTGCTACTTGCTGTTGCAGCACAAAAAGGCTGGAAAGTGTATCAGTTGGATGTTAAATCAGCATTTCTAAATGGTTTTTTGCAAGAAGAAATCTATGTTGAGCAACCTGAAGGCTTTGTGAAGAAAGGAGAAGAGGACAAAGTTTATCTCCTAAAAAAAGCTCTATATGGATTGAAGCAAGCTCCAAGAGCCTGGTACAGTAGAATTGATGATCATCTGCTAAGTTTAGGCTTTGTAAAAAGCTTATCTGAGTCCACCCTTTAGATTAAGCACTGTGAGGTTGATATTCTTGTTATTTCTCTTTATGTTGATGATCTTTTGGTGACTGGAAATAATGTAGCTTTGATTGATGAATTTAAGTTGGAAATGATGAAAGTATTTGAGACGACTGATCTTGGATTGATGACTTATTTTCTCGGAATGGAGATCAAGCAAAGTCAAGATGAAATTTCCATTTGTCAAAAGAAGTATGCAAAGGAAATTCTCAAGAAGTTTCATATGGAAGATTGCAAGTCAATGAGCACTCCTATGAATCAAAAGGAAAAGTTGAGCAAGGAAGATGGAACCGAAAAAGAGGATGAAGCACACTTTAGAAGTTTAATTGGGTGTCTAATGTATCTTACAACAACAAGACCTGACATCTTGATTGCTGTGAGTATTTTATCTCGGTTCATGCACTGTGCAAGTGAAATACACTTGAAGGCTGTTAAGAGGGTGGCTAGATACATCAAAGGCACAATCAACTTTGGCATCAAGTTCAAAAAAAGCAAAGGGTTCAAGTTGTTTGGTTTCTCTGATAGTGACTGGGCGGGATCTATTGATGACATGAAAAGTACCTCTGGATACTGTTTTAGTTTTGGATCATGAGTTTTTTCATGGAGTTCGAAAAAACAAGAAACAATAGCTCAATCTACTGCTGAAGCAGAGTTCGTTGCTGCAACTGCTGCTGTAAATCAAGCTTTGTGGCTGAGGAAGATGTTGACTGATCTTCATATTGAGCAGAAAGAAGACACTAAGATCTTTGTTGATAATCAAGCTGCAATAGCGATTTCTCACAATCCAGTTTTTCACGGGAAAACTAAACATTTCAACATCAAGTTGTTTTTCTTGAGGGAAGTACAGAAGGATGGTGCTGTAACTCTTGTTTATTACAAAACGAAAGAGCAAATAGCTGATATTTTTACTAAACCCTTACCAGCAAGCAAGTTCAAGTTCTTGAGAATGAAACTTGGTGTTTGCAGTCTCTAAAGCAAGGAGAAGTGTTAGCTGTTGTGTTTAGGACTGTTGCCACGTTTGTGGCCTGTTTGTTTGTTTTTAATTCTATGTTTGAATATTTCAAAGTTTGTTTCCTAGTTTCTAGTAGGTTGTTAATGTTCAATTTTTATGTGTGTTTAATCGTGGTTTAATTATAGGACATGGTCTTAGTGGTTAGTTATTTTTAAGTCTTTAAATACTAGCATTGAATTCAATAAAATTAATCTCTTTTTCGACAGAAGCTCTGGTGTTCCTCAGACTTCAAAGTTCTCTGTTTTTCTGTTGCAATTGCTTCAGAGTTGTCTTTGTTTTTTCTGTTGCAATCTCACAACAAACAACAATTCATTTGTGCTTCACTATTCATTTTTCCTTTCTCCTTCCCTTCAACAACCACTTTGCAGTAGATTAAAATACAAGAAAAGACCACAAATTTCTCCTCTCGTCACGCTTCTTTTTTCCAGTTTTATATTCATCGAAGTCTGTGTTGAAATTTAGGATAAGGATTTGCTCTTAAAAGTTAAAAGTCCTAAAGTCACATGTTTATGTTGTGTTTATGTGTAGTGCTTCTTTCCTTAAAAGCATTCTTTATAGGCGCTGAACATGGCATTAGATGCGTATAAGCAAGATATTGGAGGGACCCAAATCTGTTGGTCTAGACTCTCTAGATCCTGGGTTTAAGAGTCTTTCTTGTCACTTGACCAAAATAAAGCAAATGCATTATCAATTTCGTCGGCAAGCAGTATTAAACATGAAAAAAAGAAGGTCGTACATAAATGGAGACTAATATTAGTTCATAGGTCCGACTATTACAAATAATACAAAGGCGTAGTCATATGAAAAATTCTAATATTTGTTAATAACTTTTTTACTGTTCAGTAATGTGCTAGTCACCTTTTCAAACGCGACGACAAAATATTTTATTTGCATGAAAATCACTCTTACTATAATGGAGACATATTTAACTATTCCCAAGAATCTAATTTACATAGTCAAAAAGGGACTTTATTTTGCTTGGCTGTGAAAGAATCAAAAGAAAGACCTAAAGTCACTTAACTGTTTCGTTTTAATTCGTCACCATCCTCCAAACTTATCTTTATAATCATAACCAGCAATAATCCATTTTATATACCATTTTTCATTCATATCTTTACATAAAATATTTATCTGCCAAAAGATTATGTTTTGCTGGCAGTAATTTAGTTGAATAATGTTATTATAATAACACGGCGAGTCGATGAGAATCTTTAATATCGAAAATACTGTGCACAAGACAATAAACAAGATTTTTTAAAATCATGTCTAATATTATTGAATTGAATCTGTAATAGTGTCATGCATATATTGTATTTCGAATTCTTGTTTTGATTTTATATAACGATCTTGGAGGTTGAGCTTCAGAAATAAAATTGCATTTAATTTTAGAAATTAGTATGACTTGGAGGTTTTTGGTCGAAGGGTTCTTGCTCGACCATAGTTTGTACTTGAGTTGTGCTACGTGTACATTACAATTTATATAATGATTTTCCAACAAATGATGTGGCAAGATTTAATTGGATAAAAAAATTTCATCAATCAAATAACTTCTCCATTGATATTTTGACACTTTATCATTATTTAAAATATTATGTTAACGTTATATATACGAAAAGTATTTTCCGATAGTATTGAACGTCAATTCAAGAAACACAATATTTCTTAATTATGTCAATTGTTGTTCAATCGAATATATCAAACATTTTTTTTATGGGGCAACAAACATCATTGGTCCAAGACAAGACAGTTATTTTATAACAGCCCAAGATATACTCAAACAGCACATGTACTAACTAAGCTATATAAACCCTCTAATCCTTTCACGGGGAGAGAAAACAAGAACACACACCAAAATAATTAAGAAAAAAATGAGTTCCTTCTTCTCTTTCATTCTTCCAGTCCTCTTCCTCTCCTCCCTGATCTCGACCCAGCCCGCAAACGGCCAGAATTTAATCAACGAAACGTGCAAAACATTAGCTCGTGATGATCCAAACATCAGCTATAACTTCTGCACAACTTCCCTACAGGCAGCACCAGCCAGCCAGTGTGCAAGTTTACATGGCCTCGGGATGATCTCGATCAGACTCGTACGTTACAACGTTACAGATACGCGTTGTTACATCAAAGACCTGATGAAAAACAGGAAATGGGATCCTTATGCAAAACAATGTTTGAAGGATTGCTTTGAACTTTTCTCTGATGCAATCTCTTCTGTGCAGCAGGCAATGAAATATTACAACTCGAAACGTTACGATGATGCTAATGTGCATTTAAGTTCAGTAATGGATGCTGCTACGACTTGTGAAGATGGGTTTAATGAGAGAAGAGGATTAGTTTCTCAATTGACAAAGAGAAATCGTAATACTTTTCAACTCTCTGCTGTGGCACTCTCTGTTATGAGTGAGATTCAGAAAGGATCAGATGTCTGATGATCGATGATCATTTTCTTTTCTTGTTTATATGGGATTTCTTTATTTTTATCGTTTATAAATTGTAAAATTATACATATGAGTTAATGTTTGTTGTTTTCAAGGGGTTAAAATGTAATCCATGAAGCTTTAGGTGGAGAGTTGTAATCTTTGTTGAAACGCAATTTCAATGGAAGAGTGACTTCTACTTAATATTTTGTCTTAGACTTCATTGTTAAACTAAATAAAGACCTTCCAATTACTTGCTCCGAAATGACTTATTATCATTTTGGGAAAATCATTAATACACGAATAGAAGAGAATATATTATTTATCATTCCACCAATTTGTTTTAGACCATTAATAATAAATACTAGAATTGGTGATGGAATGTCCTTTAGAATATTTTTAATGGAAACGCCACATCATCATAAAATGCTTACATGACACCTAGAACATCCTTCGTATCTAGAGGGTACCCTCGACGAGTCTCTATTTAATTTTTAAATCATGCTATTTGTACAAAAAAATTCTTACATTTTCTTTAATAGAATGCCGCATGACCCGTTTAAAAAAGGAGATAGTTTTTGTACCAATTACACATTGCCAATAGTGATTGTACAAATGGCAAAGCTCTTAATTTTTATTTATTTATTTTTTATAATTTCGTTTCCTCTCCAAGTCTACATCCTCTCTCTTGTATTACCTACAATTTTCTCAATCGAGAGCCTCGTTGGAGATGCACTTCTTTCATCCTCCATTTTGCTTCACAAATAAAACATTACATTGGAGATGCTCTTATTATATGTGAAAAAACATTAATTTATGAAGTTGTAATTGTAAGTTCAACACTTATAATTAATGCTTTTTTTTAATAATTATAACTATATTATAATTTAAAATTAAAACCAAACATTAATTTAATCACATATTCACAATTATTATCCACTTATTATAATTTGCACATTCCTTCTCATTATAATTTCTTCCAAACAAGCACTTAGTCACGTAAAAGTTAGAGGTGAACAAAATTTGCTTGATAGTGTATAGATAGTAGCTGAACGATAGTACATGGAGCTATAGAAGTTGAAATGCACATGTCTAGATTTTGAGTTAATTTCACAAATGGTCACTGAACTTACCTAAAAATTACAAAATGGTCATTGAAGTTTAAAATTTGTATAAACAGTCACTGGAGTTTCATGCGCTTTCACAAACGATCACTGAACTTACTATGATGACTGTTATAATGTTATTTCAAACTTAAAGGACCAAAACACGTGGACATAGAGCTTGAGGACCTCAAGTGCAAATTCCATTCCCATACCAAAACGGCCGAAAATACACATTCCGGTGATACCTACGTTAAGCCCAATATACTGGTTGATTCTACTCTTCTAGGCGACCCTATCCATAGCCTCCAATCAATAAATAATCAACTCTATTAAAATCAGAAAGCTCCGTTCGCGTTGCTTGCCACTGCACATTCTTCATCTTCTGATTTCAGCGTCGGTAGTAGGACCCATGATCACGGACCACCATCTCGGACAACTACTCCTCTTGGCGCATCCATTGAGTGCATGGGTCTTCCCCAATTTGGTCTGGAACTGGCGATTAACGGTGGGGAAGCTCGAACGCATCGCGAGCCACTCGATCCCCTTTCAATTGATGTTTCTCCACAGCTCCAATCAACAAATTGGACCAACCGGAATGAAATTCATGATAAAATGGCCATGGGCAAGGATTCAATTGCTGCATTTCATCAGTCAAAAGAAACAATTTTGGATTTGGCTTCAAAAAGGGTTCGCCTGCGTGAATCTGAGTTTCATCCATCAATTGGAGGCTCAAATGTGTTTCAAGATACAAAGCAATATGTGGGAATTGAAATTCAGGCTCAAAAAAACATTGCTTACCAATTGCAGAAATTACAACCCTCGTTTGTCAAATTTCGGGGTCGAATTTTGAGTAATTTGAGCAAAATTTTGGCCAAATTTGCAATTGAGGTCCTCAAGCTTCTATGTCCACGTGTTTTATCCTTTAAGTTTGAATTAACTTCATAATAGTCCCAATAGTAAATTTAGAGACCCTTTATGATAGTGCATGAAATTTCAGTGACCGTTTCTGCAAGTTTTAAACATGAGTAACCGTTTTGTAATTTTTAGGTAAGTTCAGTGACCTTTTGTGAAATTAAGCTGCAGATTTCGTATCAAGTCCTTGTTCTTCTTCTTTCTCCCTATTTCATTGACCATTCTGTGACACAATATACATGGATCATGTTTGCTCACAAAAAAATACGAATTGCCAAAGAATTCGTGTTAAACATGCAGCAGCTCGGGTTAAAATTTATGAATCGATTTGATACATCCATTGTAAGTAGAGCTTTTAAAAGTGGAGTTTTTGAGTAGGAAAAAGCTACTCTTACTACACCATTCTCCCGAAGCCTTTACTTAATGCTGACATGGCACCTAGATGGTCAAACATAATGGCTCTTGACTTGTCAGTGAAGCACGTGAACTTTTAGAATAAACCCCCATTTCAAATCTCACATTTTGAATTAACCCCAAATCTCACATTTCAAATCTCACTCCGTTCGCAATCCTCTCCGAACAGTTAATCGTCGGGCAGAAATCTATTGAAACCCATCCGTTCGCAATCTCTCTCACGAACAGTTAATCACCGGCAGAAATCAACCAGGGAAATCGCGGGTCGGAGTGAAAACCAGTGAAATCAAACCTCCGACGAAATTATTGTGGGTCGCCTAAACTGTGAAATCGCGAGCACCATTTCTCCCCAGGTTAGTACCTGTTCACTTCCCGTTTCGTAAAAGGAAACGCCGAGGGTTCTAATTTCTTCCCCTGCCCCGGTGCCGACTGTGAAATATCGAGTTTCTTCCCCTGCCCCTTCCCCTTCTATGGAATCGAGATTGACTTTCCCTGCCCCGTCGCCAACTGTGGGGTGAAGAAGACCCACCATTTCGCACAATGTATAATTCTTAGTATTATTATTGGTTTGTTTCTATTTTGAACATTGGAATGTAATTCAATTTAAGGAATAATTGAATTTGTGGAATATGATAAAATCTGCTGTAATGGAAGCTGATTACTACCTGTAATTGAATTTGTGGAATATGAGTTTACAGTTTCACTAAATGTCAGTTTGTGGAATATGATAAAATCTGGTTCGTTTCTATTTTACAGTTTCACTAAATGTCATGGAAGCTGAGTACTACCTGTTCAATTTGTTTGGTCAGTTTGTTTGGCACTTAGTTTTTAATGATGACGGCGTCGAATTTTCGAATGATAATTCAGTTGTTTTGCACTTAGTTTTTTACCTGTTCAATTTGCTTACTGTTTGTTTGGGAGAAATCATGGAGATTTAGAGTGTGTTTGGTAGAGATTTTTGAGGGAAGAATTGATTTTTGAATAGTGATATGATGGGAAATGTGTGGTTGAAAAAGAAGAAAAAAGTATTGATGTGATGGAAAATATTATTTTATTGAAGAATGTGTGGTTGAAAATGAGAATAGAAATTTTGAACGGTGATATGATGGGAAATGTGTGGTTGAAAAAGAAGAAAAAATTATTGATGTGATGGAAAATATTATTTTATTGAAGAATGTGTGGTTGAAAATGAGAATTGATTTACTCTAGAAAATGAGAATTTGTACCAAACATGCCCTTAAGGCGCATATCCACCTAAATTCTTTATTTACAGTTCTTGCTCTTCGTCGCTTGATTATTCATTTTTTGTCTCAGAATGGCCGGGAAGAACAGGGGCATATGTCATTCTTGTAGGGTGGCAGGACACGTGCTATCGGAATGCCCCAAATGTTGAAAATGTGTGCAACAATAACCGAGGAGAGGGACGTGGAGATTTTGCTCAACATAACCATGCATAAGGGAAAAGCAGTTCCGAGAGATTGAATATAAATTATGTTTAGTATTTTGTTGTATGAACTCGACTTATTGTACTAATTCGAGTTTATGAACAAGAATGTCAAACATTGTATGTCAACTGCTTTTGTATGAACATGTTTTGGTGTTCCCTATCTCATTACACCCAAGCAATACCTTTCAAATTTATTTAGTAATATTCCTGTTACTGATGGCATAATGCCTAAATACTATAATTCCACTCTCTTCTCCTTCCAAATTACAGATTGAGGTTCTATCATCAATGACCAAGAATCTGATTATCACAAGCCACTGGACATATCTAAAATTAGATTAAGTAGCAAAAATAAATGAACATAGAAATGAACATAATATGATGTGAGTACTTCTCAGTTAATTGATTACAAAAATACGCACCCACGTGGAACATGTCATTTCACTATTGACAAAAAATGTACAACCCCCGTCACAAAATTCTTTAGACCCCTACATCAAAATCACCCACGTGTATGGACAAAAAATATACAATCGAACGTCATGGATGCTTTAGACTCCCAAATCAAAATCACCCACGCTTTCCTGTGTGCCGCCAAGTTGGGAAGGGTAGGTGGTTGTACTGCGAATTTCCTAAAGAATATAAAAAGCGTCATCTACAAATATTTGGATTATGTACTCAAGTTGAACCAATCGTAATGTTTGACAAATACCTGAACATCGGAGTTTGTTGGCACACTTCCTTTCCACCTTTTCGATGTAGTTTTCGTTGGCACCTAAATGTCACGAAAATAAATATCAGTTTCAACATCTCGAATTATTGTACAAATATATACATATAATACAATCACTTGTCACGAAGTCATACCTTATGAGATGCTCTTGATTTTTCTAGATGACCTTTTCGGCGAAGTTTTTTAGGAGCTCCCATTGTTTTTGTGTATTTTGGGTCCAAAAGTTTTTCACCAACTGATTGTCCTGCTTCGTCAATACTTTGGGCTCCCCCAGCCATAGTCCTCAAGGTCGATGCCTCTACTATTTGAAATTCAATCCACTCCATAATTCCATGTGCCCGCGACTCGCTATGTGCTACCAAGTCAGCTAACTTCAAAAAAGCATTGCACAATTGCTCATACCTAACTTGGTCTGAAGTAGTAATCCGCCCATCATAATTGATCGGAAACCTTGTGTACGGTCTGATCACATCTCTCCTCCATCTCTTCAAAATGTACTTCTCGGGAAGTAATTTCACTTGGTTCCGTATCAAAACTGCAATCGTGTGGTTACAAACAATTCCTCGGAACTCAAATAAGTGACAACTGCACTCAAAATCACATTCATCATCTCTACGGAAGCACACTTTAAACAACTTTGACCTCATACATTCATTCACAATAATGTCCTCACGAACATCGTATGTAGTGCACAAGTATGATTCATGCACCGACAACACTTCGCAATATACCTTCCCAGTAAATTGTTCTTGGAACTCTTTGAACTTCGCGATTGTGTACAATGATTGAATTTGCTTCTCCATTTCGTACCTTGTCACACATGGGACCATGTGTGAAAATGATTTGAAGTCGGCTTGAAACTCCTTTTCAACTTTACTTCTCAACGCACGCTCATACTGCTCTACAAATTGTTTCAAAGATGTTTTTGAATGAACATAACCATCGAAAAATGCATTAATACCCTCACTTCGTTGTGTGGTTGACATACCCGCCCAGAATGATGTTTTCAAAAAGCATGGCACCCAGCGACTTCTTTCATTGTATAGACCAGTCAACCAACTATGTTCCAGCAATTCGTAATCTTCGAGCATAGTATGCCAACCGTGTTCGAATTCCTCGCAACTTTGCACATCGTACACCAACTTATGTACATTTGCAAGAATAGAAGCTTTATGTCTATGGCCGCCAAATTTTTCTAGTAACTTTTTCAGAATATGCCAGAGGCACCATCTGTGCTTCGTGTTCGGAAACACGATTTCTATTGCATTTTGCATAGCACGATCTTGATCTGTAATTATTCCAATTGGAGCTTGATCATGCATACATTGTAGCCATGTCCTGAAAAGCCATTCGAAGGTACTTGTATCTTCACTCGATACCAAACCACATCCAAGTAGAGTTGATTGTCCATGATGGTTTACCCCAACAAAAGGAGCGAAAGGCATTTCGTACTTGTTTGTCAAGTACGTCGTATCAAATGTGACTACGTCTCCAAATTCCTTACACGCTTGCCTGTACCTGTTATTTACCCAAAATACATTCCTCAGCTGGGCCTCATCATCCAAGTCTATATTGAAGAAGAAACCATGACTAGTTGCTTGCATCCTTGAAAAATACCCTTGTAGTGCAACAGCGTCTCCTTCACCAAGTCGTAATCTTCACACTTTGTTAATGTAATTCCTACAATCTTTCTCAACATATGAAATCTTCTCATAACCACCAGCTTCCACTACGGCTGAGTTAAAACTCTTATGTAATGGTATTCCAGCTATGTCATTTATTTCAAGCTGTCTTCTTGCACGTGCACTTATTTCACGATTACATCGATATAACCTTGATTTGGACGGACTTGTTCTATGATTATGCTCCAAAATAAGAGTGTTAATACGCCATATGTCATTAAGATCTTTTAATGCCGTCAATCTCGCTTTACAGCCCATTTGCATTGTTGGTTGAGGCGTTAGAATTGCATTTGTTCCACTTATTCGACGGCTCTCCCGACTACATGTAAAAGTTACATAGCGTACAACCCTATCATTACCCTTCCTCGAAGATCTTTTCCTCACTGGAAAACCGATATGGTACGCGTAGTTCTTGTAAAATTCGAACACCTCATTCTCATCTTCGAACTTCATTCCAACACTAGGTACACGAATATCAGTTTCTTCTCCTAAGCTCATATCAATCGGATTGTCGTCTTCGGATGAATTAATTTCCACATAACCTGCATTCACGACAATGGAACGGTAAATTATGTTGATTACATTCATTACGTTGGTGGCTTATGTAGAATTACAATTTCCACAACAATGGAACAGGTAAATTCACGACAATTTCCACACTACTGTCTGATGTTTACATTCATTACATTGGTGGCTTATGTAAAATTACAATCAGTGAACAGCAACTCAAATAAATTACAATCAGTTAATTTGCATTAGGAAAATTACAATCCGTCTCATAGCCACAGCCGTCTACAAGTTTAAGCCCAGTAAATCGTTCACCTTCCCCAGCCTCTGCACCCCACCGCAACAGCCATCACCTCCTCTACCCCACGTCACACCCAAGCCCCTCCAGTTAAACACCACTTCGCCCCGGTTAACCCTCCCACTTCACCACCATTTAAACCTCCAACTTCACAACACATTCAACAATCAGTCCAATCCACAAGTTAAGCTTCCCACTCATGGCCATAATGACGATTAAATTTAAAACAACTTACCCATGTTGTGGTGGTCGTCGCATTTGTCGGAGTGAGAGTTGTCGGCTTCCTCTTCATTTCCGTCATAGAATGTCTCGGCGTCAGCGTGTGGGGGCAAAGTTAAAGGGTTCGCCGACGTGTGGTCGTCATTGTCCAGGTCGCCGACCATTTCGGGTTGCTCCATTTATCGCCAGAGCTTCAGTGAGGTGGTTCTTCGGGTAAGTGATGGGAGCTCAGTTTGGGCGCCCTTTAAATGGGGTTTTCATCCCTTTTTTTTTTTTAATCTATGTTGACTTGTCAAGGGCAGCCATGTCAGCATTAAGTAAATGGTGTAGTAACAGCGTGAGTACGTCTAGCACCATCCTTTTGAGTATTAGTACATAATTATTATTTTTATAAATATATATCTTTTTAAAATTATATAAAACTTATAAGAATTATTTTAATTAAATATTAACACCGTTATTTTACTATGAATTACATGCATTGATCAAATAGATGAATATGACCTAAAAATGGAAAAGAAAAATAAAAATGATAGTGGTGGGGTTACAGTTTAATGGATTTTGCTACTTGTACATAAAAAAAATATACATAATGGATTACAACTATTGGATAAAAAAATTGATTATGTTTTAAATTGGTAAATAGGAGAATGTTATGTGGTATTACGTAATTTATTATATAAATTTTGATGTACTTCCGGTTTGATTGGGTGGCGTGGGGGCTGATCAAAAGACAACGGTTTTGCATGATTTATTTTAACTTTAATCTTTTTCTTTAATCGTTATTATTATCTCTTTCTCTTTCGTCGTTATTATTATATATATCCATTTTAAGTCTCTGTTGCCAGCTTCAATAGGATTCAGGAAACTCGAGAGTTTCATTAAATGCAAAGATGAATGTACAACTTTTTATTTGAAACTACCTTAAAAAGTTGTTATTTTGTTTTTTTTGTCAAGAACCACATTTTGACTGCAACCAAACATCAATCAAAAGCGCTTTTGAGCTCTCAAAAAGCCCTCCCAAACACAGTCATAATTAAATGATGCAAGTAGGCAAACCAGAAGAAACTAGACATGTACTCCCAGAGTACAGCCATTGATGATTTCAATCGGGGTATCAGTCTTTGCAAAGAATATGCAATAATAAGGTAATGTTGATGTAAGAAATAGCAGACGCTAACACACAGCCGACAACTACGATTATGCATTTGAGGACAGAAAAAACTAATTCCTTCCCTATTGCCACAAATTTATAATGAGCTAGCAGCATTAGAATTGAAGGAAACACCCAAATCTCTCCATTGGAGAGGAGTTTTGGCTTATGAATAACATCTGTAGCTTGTGAATAACAAGCTACAGATGCTAGGCATGGGAAGAAAAGCATGTATAGTACAGATCTGAAAATGCGAAAACCAAAGGGAAGCATGGATAAAAAGGAAAACAGGCAGGGCAAATTGTGGCCTAGGAAAAAACAAGCTGGCAGTTCAATTTGAAATCCTGGACGAATTTGATTAACTGTTTTACAAACAATTTAACTTGATAAATTTCCATACGAAAACTGTTATCTGCATAAAGACTAGATAAACAATTCAAATTCACCAAGTAAAGACGAAAGATAACAAGATTATGAAACCCGGAGTGGAATTACATTTTATTCAACAGGGCCAATTTATTTCCCAGACCCAGGATCATATTTCTACGACATCCCAACAAGTCAAACATGAACAGGATGTAATGTCTCTGTCTCGAAGAAACAGCTAGCCGTTGCAATTGCAAGAGAGCAGGACTCAATTTTATCAGCTTCCTTGTCAGGAATATCCAGTTTAAAATATTCTTCAATAGCCATCACTATCTCTACATTGTCCTGAAAATGAACATCAGATGTCACCTGCACTAGAATACCATCAATTTTGATGTCAACGCCTGGCTTGAGATCAACAGAATAATTACTGTTGAAATTAATCACTTCTGAAATAGAACAAAGNTCTTCTGTTTTGTTTATTGTTTCTGAGGGGCACATTCTTGACTAACTAGGATCGAAGCACAAAGCACAACCAGTTGGCGGATCCAGGATTCATGGTAAGCTAGTGCGGTTGTCGACCATCGACCGTTGTTTTCGACTTTTCACTCAACCAAAGAAAAGGGGCATTGGATGCAATTTTTGGGTGCTTCTGAGTAATACCCAGAAGACAAACTTAGCCATCTTTCTTCTACGAACAAAGTATGAAGGAGCATATTACAGAGTGCAACTAAGCTAAGTGCATTTTAGTTTACGAAAAGAATTTACCAAGAAACCACGAGTAAAATCCAAATCATTATTCACAGCTCCAAGCGTCGAATTATTATCTTTCTACAAACAGCTCCAAAAACACCAAGCTTAAGAAGATGTCATCAGATAAAATGGAATCTTCAGACAGACATAAGAGCCCATTCAATCACATAATTCAACACTGCATATTAGTCTATCACCATAATTTGAAAAGAAATTAACAATTGCACCAGAACAATAAAAAGACTCAAAATTGAGCCTAAAAGGCTCAAATAATTTAAAGTCTCATCCAATAATTATAATTTGGGCGAGCACAAAAACAACAATACTCCAACAGAAAAATTCCAATAAAGCAAACATACACACATGTACAACAAACCATCATCAGCGCTAAGTCATAAAAACCTTGTACTGTGAAATATTATCATACGCCTACATATAAATTTACACTCAAAAGTCATAAATCTCAAAACATAATAAATCATAACTAATTACTCACACTTTCACACTCATAACATAAATAATAAATTATAAATTATAAATAAAAAATATATTGAAGTCTAAAAGAACAAAAACCAAAAAAAGAAAAACAAGGCAGGTGACTCACGGAATTACTAGTTAGTAATACAATGAAGATGCCATGGACCAGTGTTAGAGACCGAAGAGGATTGGCGGTGACTCGACGGTAGCTAGCAACAGGTCGCTAAGGCGAGAGGTAGCTAACAACAGGTCGCTAACAACAGATTGATCGACAGTTGTCTGAGTCACTAGGAATTTTGGTGGACACACCTTTGTCCCCAATATGTATCCTTCAAGGTTATGCCCTTTGATTATGGGCATAATCATGTTTTTCCACAATAGGAAGTTGTTCCTATCCAGCTTCACTGATGGTGTCTGAGTTATGTTCATTCCGAATGCTGTATTCTGGCTAGTTGCTACCTGAATGCTTGGAGCTGTGTTAAGCTCGGATGGATTTGACTGATTTTCGGAATTGGTGTTGGCCATGATTGGCTCTGATACCAAGTTAGAAAGTAGGATGAAATGAAGATAAAATCTATACATTAATCATTCAGGTTACATTGCTATATACACCACGAAAGAAGGATCTAGAATTATTCTATTTAACAGACATAAAACTAACACTACAGCTGACCAGTAGAATTGATTTTATTCTCCTGAAAATAAGGAACAGCAATGTGATGGTGCCTGTTGCTTCAAACCGTAGCTGAGGGTAGTGAGCTGAGAGTGGTAAATTCTAACTGTTTGGAATTGCGATCTTTATTTATTTTGCAATTGAATTAATTGTTACAATTAAGCAATATAGCATAATTGAAAAAAGAAAAAAATTCAATGGACTAGGCTTACCTTTTGTTTCAGAAAAAGAGAGATCCAACCAAAAGAAGAGGCCCATAATTGAAAAAAGAAAAAAAATTCAATCCAATTGCCCGTCATCTTCCAAAGTCCTCCATGCGGGGCGCTTGAACTTCAATTTTCAAGCTTCCTCATTGGCTCCGACTGTCACTGCTGCTGGGTATTTTTTTGTGGTAATTACATAAAACCATACTTTAAATTCTTAAACTTCTAAAATCAGATTAGAAGTTTAATATTTTCAAAATCAGATATTTTATTTTTAAATATTAAATATATATTTTTTTTATCCAAAACCCTAAATATATTTCATCATTCATCCATTCTCTCTCTTCTCTCACTGTAACCGCCGGCCTCATCCTCTCTCGGTCTCCGACACTCTCTCCTCTAGTTTCTCCTCCCTCTCTGGCAGTTTCTATCTCCCTCTCTGCCACTACCACACAGTCGGCACCGGCACCACGGGAGAGAGATGTGTCTGCTCGGAGGTTGCCACCGCGCTTCCATATTTCGTAAGTATCGGAGGGGGCTATTTTCCGACGAATCACACGATGGAGGTCTCGAAATGGAAGGAGAACTCCATTTAGAAGTCACGCATGCGACGGAGGGCAGCAACTAGACGAGGAAGGCGGCGGCGCCACTTGGACCAGGAAGAAAGGCATTCTTCCCTTTTTATTTTTATTTTTGAGTCTGCTGGTAGCTCTGTGGGTCTGCTAAAGGTGACGGGCAAGTTGGGTTGATCGTTGGTGGCGGTGCGAATCTGTGGTGGTGAGTGGGATCTAATTGTAGATGGTGGCGGGATCTAATTTGGAGCTTTTTGATAACTAGATCAGTTTGGTTATGGAAGTAGTAATTTTGCCGTGGTGGTGGTAGTGTGTTGTGGGTGGTGGTGTTGCACGGAGTTGAAGATGGCGACTTCGATTAGCAGCTTCGGTTAATGTTGGGTCTGGGTTTTGGGAAATGGCAGTCGATTGTTGGTGTGATATTCTGCCATTTGAAGCTGATGGTGGGTGGTTGTTGAGATGGAGGTGGCTCGGAAAGGCAGGGTGTGGTGAGATTTGGAGTTTTCGTCGAAGTGGGTTGAATTTTGTGGTTGGTTGGTGCGTGTAGGTGGACAGCACTTTGTGGAACGATTTGTGGAATTCGTCAGTGAATGTAGTGGTTGAGTAGGGCACCGGTGGTTGGCTACGCAATTGTAGATGGTGGCGGGATCTAATTTGGATCTGATTTGTTGTTGAAAATGGTGGTGG